ACCTCAGGCGTCAAAAAGCAGATGTTATCTGTTTGTATCCTTTGGGCGCTTTGATCACCGAGGCATATGAAATAAGTGAAAACTTAGCATGCTTGTTTTTTGGACGCTTAAAAAAGGGAGAGAACGAGAGAGAGAGAGAGAGAGAGAGAGAGAGAGAGAGAGAGAGAGAGAGAGAGAGAGAGAGAGAGAGAGAGAGAAGGGCAGATACCTTCTAGTGAGTCCTCATGAGGGATCGTAGGTCGGTCTGGTCTCTGCGGCATGCGCACGTTGAGGTACATAGAAGAGCTCTTCTTCATCACTGAAACAGAGAGAAAACACAGCGACTGAGCGTATGAGAAGTGGGCAAAGACATTTACAATGATATGAGATATAAAAACCAAATCCGAGCATTTAAAGTAAAAGTACTATGACTAGTCCCCCCCATCCTCACTTCCACCAAGTCTAAGGCTTTCACGTTTTCATAATGACGCGTCTGGCTTGTTTGCTTTTAATTAACTCCTAGTATATCGCGAGCCTATTCAGGCTTACTTGTTTACAGTCGTCACAAAAATCTGTGAAACCCCAGTAAATCCATCTTGATTCTTATAAACCGGTATGTTTATTACAAAGTTCATTCATTTCTTCCCACTTTGGTATTTATTTTATACAAATATGTTAATTGGGAGCAAATATAGAAAAACATTTATGTTGTTGAAAAGTTGGTTGCGTTCAAAGGTGGAATAGCCTTTCGTATGCTAAGAGCTAAGCTTTTTAGTCTCCGTGTCACAGTCAGCGAGCACAGGCTATTCCCTACAGTTTCCCTCGCTGCTAGTCACCAAGGAATCGTCTATAGTTGAATGAACAGAGTCAAAGTCTCAAGATTGCAACGTTCCAATAATGGTTCAAACTTACGAGCTTGCGATTTCCACCCGTGCCTCATTTGACAGATACACAACTTCCGAAGAAAAGGAATAAATTAATGTATATAAATAACATACCTGATTATCTCCCTCCCTCCCCCAAACCTAGATCGCAATAGATTATCATAACCCACTTTACATGACACCCCCTCTCTCCGTAGAATTTTACCATC